TGGCCAATCATCTTCCCTTTCCCTCACCTTAGACACTTCAAGAAAACAAAGCAAAGTTGGGCTTTAGTGGGATCAGGAGAGGAGATGAGAATCCCTGTGGTCACAGAGAACTCAGTGAGATTCATGTTCAGCCTCAAACAAAATTTCATCTATAATCTTCCTGCTCAGAAACCAAAGACTCTCTTGAGTCATCTCTGGCAGGCTGACAGAGATGGAGTGGATCCTGGGTAGAAAGAGAACTGAAGACACTTGTGGGGTAATGAGAAAATCCCAAGGAAAAAGAAAATCTAAGGGGTAGAGGTGAGGACTTTCAGGTGGAGATAAAGATACCTGGGGGTGGGAGAGGTAAGTTCCCCCCACCCCCTCACCCCCATCAACGGATAGGTAAGAACACTTTTGGGGGAGCTTAGAATTTTTTTACTTCTCACTTTTCCTTATTAATCCTGCATACCTAGGTCTCTACATTGGCTGGCGCTGCCCCCATTACCTATGGGACTGTTTCCGGATTGGGGATGAGTCCAGATGCTTTTGTGGACACTTGTTGAGAGAGCACCGGATCATCTCAGGTAGGGGAGAACTGACCAGCCCCTCTTGAGTGTGGAGGAATAACTGTACTCTGTCATGTCTTGGGAAGTATGAGAGAGAGCATGTGGCTGGGCGCAGTGGCTCACCCCTGTAATCCCAGCACTTTGGGAGGCGGAAGCAGGCAGATCACAAGGTCAGGAGATCAAGACCATCCTGGCTAATATGATGAAACCCCGTCTCTACTAAAAATAATAATAATAATAATACAAAAAATTAGCTGGGCATGGTGGCACGTGCCTGTAGTCCCAGCTACTCAGGAGGCTGAGGCAGGAGAGTCACTTGAAGCCAGGAGGTGGAAGTTGCACTGAACTGAGATCATGCCACTGCACTCCAGCCTGGGTGACAGAGCAAAACTCTGTCTCAAAAAAAAAAAAAAAAAGCATGTTTGAGTGCGTAGGGGGTGGCGGGGATGGAGGATGGGGTTGGCACAAGAAGGCAAGGTCCTATCAGATACTGGTCTAACCCTACCATCCATCCCCAATCCCACAGACATATCCGTGCCCTGCAAGGTGAGCCAGTGCCGCTGCCTCATGTTCTGCTTTATCCCATCACGCCCAGAGGAGGTGGGTGAGTTCTGGCTCAAGAGACGGGCCACCTTTGACCCCAAGGCCTGGAGGGCCCAATGTCGCTGCAAACACAGCCACGAAGAACATGCAGCCACTGGGCCCCATCCCTGCAGGCATCATGGTAACTTCTAGGGCAAGAGGCATATTGGGAACAGGGTAGGTGGGGATAGGATGCAGTCTGGGGATAATGATGGGGAGCGAGTATGAGAGCCTTGGGCATGCGGTCACTGAGGAAGAGATGAGAATGTGATCAGCTCCTGGGGATACCACCATTTCCTAAACTCTTCTTGGTTGCAATTTTGCCCCAGGCTGTTGCTGCGGCTGTTTTGAGTCTAATTTCCTCTGTGCGGCCTGTGACCGGCGCTGGGAGGAACACGGGACTTTCTTTGAGACCCAGAGGACCCGGCGACGAGGAGGGAGACCTCACGGTGAGGCAGAAACCTGGGACAGGGGGCCATTCCAGAGTCTGTAGTCAGAAGGCCAGGCAGGAAGGCACTCCCATCCTCGACCATCCCCTCCAGGACTAGCGCGCTCCCTCAGCCCACCTCCCCACCACCCACCTACCTGCATCCCACATCTGCACTGGTTTTCACCCCCAGGAGCAGACTATGTACCTTTTGCAGAGATGTCTGTGCTCCGAGAAGCCATCCTCAGCAACTCTGACTTTGAGGCCCTGCCGATACAGGGGCCCTCTGGCCTTCTCAGCTCCCACCCTAGTTCCCCGGGACTCCTTGCCTCACACAACCTCCAGCCTGGCCTCCCTTCTGACCCCCATACCTGACCCTTTCACCTCTGCTCTTCCCTCCTCCAGGGACAGACACTGTCAGCAACTGGCACAGGCCTTTGTGAGTCTGGCCCAGATCAGCAATAAAAGAGGAGTCACTGGAACCTGACTTGGCTCCATATGGGGCAGGTAGATCCCAGCCCAGGGAGAGACCGCCTAATAACTTAGAGTTGACACCTATTAGGCACAGGAGAAAGCCTGGATCTGGCCATCTGCCTCCATCACACCCACATTCAAGCTGCCTGCTTGAAGGAAAGTGGCTTCAAGGAAGCCAAAAGGGAGGAAGTTTCAAGAAGGATAGAGTGGGAAGTGATGTTAGATGCAGTTGGGGCACCAATAAGATAAAGACTGAAAAGTATCCATTGGGTTTTGCAGTTAGAAGATCTCTGGGAGCTTCAGAGAGTGCAGTTTCACACTGGTGCAGTGGAGGCAGGAGTCAAACAGCAGTGAGTTTCAAGGAGTCTCTTAAAGAAGCTTAAGTCAGACAATATCCAGAGGGAGTTGTGGAGTCAAGGAAGCACTTTCATAGACAGGAAAAGGGAAAGAGGCCAGTAGACTAAAGGACCTTGAAGGACCCAGAAGAGAGAGAAGAGATGCCTGGTGAGACAAGATCCCAGAGATGGAGGAAAGGCATGAGGTCAAAGCAGAGGTAAAGGGATTTGCTCTGGACAGGAGAAACACCACTTCCTATGACCAAGAGGAAGGAAGAGGATGGAGCCTTCCCAGAGTTTCAGGGAACAAGAACCTGTGGAAGTTCCCCTCTGATGGCTTCTATATGCCCTGTGAAGTAGGAGATAAGGCCAATGGCTGGGGGTCCAGGGGGAGAGG